AGAAAATTAAATAGCTAATGATTGTCTGATTAAAGAAAAAATCATATAGAGAAGATCATAAAAAAAATATAAAAAATGTATGCCTTCATGCCTAAGAGTAAAACAAATTTTAAAGCCTAAGTAAAATTTTACAACTTTGACATGTGTTAAAAACCATACATATCATCAGAACTACTTTGTGCATCAAGATGAATTATACCTTCTTTTTTTTCAGGAGAAATTGGGCTTTCATTTGGTGGTAAATGGTAATGGATATCTCCTGATTTTTGTTTTAATTATCAAAGGAAAACTGGCCTAAAATAGGTAAAAAAATATATATTTTTTTAAATTTAGCTGTGTGTTTTTTGTTACTACCATAACCTACCACCAAAGAACAACCCAAAATAAATTTTCCAGCTCTTGACAATCGCAGCGATACCATATATGTATATGTTATTTGTACCTGTACTACAGCTCAGAAACAATAGTGCACATTTTCTTTTTGTTTTTCTACCTAAAACACACTGACACTGATGGCAATAAAAAAAAAAAAATCCTGACCTTTGACCCTGACCCAAACACTAACCTTGGCACTGAACTAGATCAAACCTTGATCTAGGTATTTTTTATTTTATTGTTTAATATTTATTTATCTTTTTTGCAAACAGTTTTTGTATCTCTCTCCTCAATTCAGAGAGAGAAAAAAACCAAGGGAGGCAACCTTCACAGTGACTGATCACTGTGATAGCTAACCAGAGGCTATCACAGTGATCATGTGACCCGGAACTGAGAGTCCCAGGTCCCAACCATAAGAACAGGACCCGAGGCTCTCAGTGACACCCCGGTCTTTGTACTGGGAGCGCGTTGTGCGGCACGCTCCCTGCACAAAGACAGGTACACAAATATGCAGCCCCACGGAAAAAAGCCCAGTTCTGTGAGGCCGCATATTTGTGTGATGTCGGCGTCAAGGGGTTAAGTAAAGAGGAATTTATATTAAGTATATCCCTTCCAAGGAGATGGAAAATGGCCCATATAAAGAGCAGACAAAAGAAAAAAGGGGACATTAAAGAAGTTAAAAATGGGAAGCTGCCCTTTAACAAAGATTTATAAGGCAGACTAAATAATATTTTTGTATGATTTATTTACTCTATGTGCACTATATGATTTTTCTTTGATCAGGCAATAATTAGCTATTTCATTTTGTTGATACTATTAGGCTAGCCATACATTATTAGTTTTTTTTTTTTTAACCAGGAGGTTGAACAATAAAAATGAACTGATCAAGTGTGTGGATGAGAGAATGCTTCTCACCGAACCTTTGTATTCTGAGAGCGGGGAGCCTTCAATAGGCCGACTTGAGTACAAAAAGCCTGCCCATACATGGATCAAAATTCGGCCAGTCTCTACTGAACTGGCCTAATATCTATTCATGTATGACTCTAGATGCTGACTGTGCATAATATAGATCATGTGATCAGATACTATGTATAATCCGTATATGTAAAATAATATTTTTCACAGTGATATATTTTGTTAGATTTATACGTAATACAAATGCATTTTAGCTATCACTAATGATACTATTATTATAATGAATATACTATTCATTATGTATTTGAGGAACTCAACCTGTCCTACTTGCTCACCCTGGAAAAGAAGGACAATTGCTATCCAGACCAGAAAGTGATTTCACTCCCTGCTGCTAAAGTCACAACAGCTTTTCACACCAGTGACTTCTCCCTATTGAATATTGCACCATGCCAATTCTTTACTGAGCTTAATAAGAAACACTCTGTCAGACATGCAGCATTTTGAGAAGTTTTTCTTATACTATAGGATTGTAGAGATGAAAAGTTTGGGTGAGGCTAGCCACTGTAGCAGTGTTTATATTTAACCTTTTATTCTCAAACAATAGCTAGAACATGAGCACAATGCAGACCAGCAGAGAACCTGACCAAATCTAGAAGTTTTTTCGGGTAATGCCCATATGGAAGAAAAATATATTTGAAATATATGTAAAAAATATTGTTCCCAAATATATTGACATATATTTGAAATACTAAAATTTTGGCCATATTCAATATATAAAATATATTGTCTATCAGTCTATCATGAATGCTGCTGCCAGACTCATCCACCTTACACTGGCTTCCCATTGCCCAATGGATAAAATTCAAAACATTGACAATAACATATAAAGCCATTTATAACTCTACCCCAAATTACATCACCGATCTTATCTCTAAATATCACCCAAACCGTCCTCTCCGCTCCTCACAAGACCTCCTGCTCTCTAGCTCCCTTGTCTTCTCCTCCCATGCTCGTCTCCAGGACTTCTCCAGAGCTTCCCCCATCCTCTGGAACTCTCTACCCCAATTTATCAGACTATCGCCTACTCTGCTCATTTTTAGGCGATCTCTGAAAACCCATCTCTTCAGGGAAGCCTATCCTGCCTTCAGCTAATAATGGAATCTTCTACGCTTCCAACCAGTCCATCCCCCACAGTTACTACCTTTTGTACCACTAGCCCCTCCCTCTTAGATTGTAAGCTCCAAGGAGCAGGGCCCTCCTATCCCTCTTGTATTGAACTGTATTGTTGCTGTATTGTCTCCCGTTATATTGTAAAGCGCTGAGCAAACTGTTGGCGCTATATAAATCCTGTATAATTATAATAATAACTTCACACTTGTGAGTGTTTTATTCATTAAATATTTCTGGTTTTAAACAATCTACACTTAGAGTGGCACCTCTGTATTCTCTCTCTCTCCTTATTTGTGTACAAGAGTCACTTCAAGCTATGACAGCTGGCTGCCTCCACTTCCAAGATCCACATTCACCCAGAGACTATACTCATCCTTGAGCTTCCTATTTAGGACAGTGCCGGATCGGATCGCACACCCACAAGTCCCTATTTGTATATATGGACTCTCATATATATCATTTATTGGTCCACATCATTTCTACATTAGCTTGGGCCTGCATTCTAGCGCTCCCTATTCTCCTCTGTTTTAAGAGGGAGGGTGTGCTTATCTTAGACCCCTCCTCCCCTCCAGGAGACTCCTGGGATGTTTGACATCATTGGCCTAGGCAAGAAACCTGGAAGTAAGTGAAGATACATAAAAAATAGTTTAAGACGAGTAAATGTTATTTACTCTCCTATCTATTTACTAATGCTGGCAGCATACAGATTAAAAATAAAATGCTGATTGAGAGAGTGAAGTTCCGCTTTATTTTTTTGCAACCGGAGTAACTGGAATGTGGCCGTGGTGTGTTCTTTACCTACACACTTTGTGATAAAAGTAGTCCCTTCTTTATTTGTCAGGAAATGTAGGGGAACAGCGTAATATATTTTAAAGTGCATAACCAAATGTTTTGGATAGAGTATGGAAGGGTAAAAAACCTGTCAGAATATTTGTTGCTGTCTGTGCCCTTTTGGAGAGATTTTTTCTAACTTCCTGTCTTGAAACCAACAGAAAGGAGAAGAAAAACTTAATTCTTAGGGCAACAGCTACCTGAAAGGAAATTACTTCGCAGTGGGTAAACCTCGATTACATCGCCATCTGCTAGCTTCAAATAGTAAATATGATGTATTAATTTGTAATATTTCATATTTACCTAATTTTCTAAAAATTTTAATTTTTTTTTTTCTGTTTCAGTAGTTTTTATTGTTTCTGAACAAAATGTAACAAGCTCAAGGTTCGCCCATGCAGGGGCTAAGCTAAGCAGTCACATAAAAATACTTACATGTTGTCAGTGTGAAAGCAAAATCTTTAAAGAACAAAAACTGGGATGCAGGAGGACCAGTGATGGTGTCTAGATTCAACAGTCCTCAGCAGTAGTAAGTGTCCTCTTAAGGGCAACAGTATCCATGAGAATATAAGGAGCCAAAAAGGAAAGAAAAGCAAGCAAGGGAAAAGGAAAAAGAGGGAAGAAAAAGAAAAAGAAGGGAAAAAGAGGGAGAAGGGACAGGGGAAAAGGGAAACACCATGGGCTCGGGACAGTCTCAGGCTTTAATTATATATTTAAATGTTCATCGTGAACATAAGTCCTCATGCACACTGGACGTTTTTACAGCGGCTGTTTTTGGCATTTTTTTCTACAGCCAGTAAACCCCCCAGCATGTTATCCTATGTGTCCATGCACACATAGACTGTAATCAACGTTTTTTTGGCAGGGGGGTGTTTTTTGGCTGGAAAAATCCCCCAGGATGAATGGGTTTCTAGAGGATTTTTTTTTAGCTGTAAAAACGCTCTAACACTGAAAAATGCGGTAAAATGCAGCAAAACAATGCAAACTGGCATTTCTGGACTTTTTTTTTAGGAATTTTTTTTAGTGTGTGTAAAAATTGCAAAGGCAGAAAAATGTGGCTAAACACTAACGCAAAAATTCTGAATAACTTGCGTTTTTAATGCGACTTTACACAGCTAACACTACCACCATTATTAAAACACCTCGTGTGCATGGAGCCTTACAGACAAAGAAAGTATCTTAAAAAAAATATATAAACCATGTTTTGATTTTGTAGCACGACACAGTCAATCGTGCAGTTACCTTTGTTTGTGTGGCAAACAAATGATCAAAATTAGAGGAGAGCTCTTGCATCATATTTTATGTTCATCCCTGAAGCTTCAATATAAATAAGTAGAGGGGATCTGGTACTTCTCTATAGGCAGAGGTAGCCAGTAGATACATGCCGAATATACCTGGGATTGGCTCAAGGACAGTTCGAAGAATTTTCCTGAAGTGCTGAATTTGAACTGTAATTGAAGTTAAAGGGAACTGAAGTTTAAACAGTAATGGCTAATAGGCAAGGGGTTGTTAAACAATTGGCATGGTGACCAGGGTATAGGGAACATGTACCAAAAAATATTTTAAAAATTCTGTTAGGAAGGGAACAGTGATTTTATTAACGCTAAATCAAATCTAAGAGCAAAATTAAAAATCCCTTTAACCGCCTCCCACCCGCCATATAAGGTAATGACAGGCGCAAGCGGGTTCTCTCATTCTGGGAGGACGTCATATGATGTCCTCCCACTCTAACCATGCATGCGCAGCTCCGGGGACACGCAGCGTGGCGATCAGTGGTGCGCTGTGTCCCTCGGACACAGTGGATCACCGATCAACATAAAGAGTCGAAGATGTCGGCTTGGTCATGTGATCAGCTGTGTCCAATCACAGCTGATCACATGTAAATAAGGAAATGCCGGTTTTCGGCATTTCTCTCCTCTCGAGCTGTCCCATAGAGGGGACATGTACACTGATCATCAAGGCAGTGATGATCAGTGTGCCCTGATGATCAGTGTAGCCCCAGCAGTGCCACCTGTCAGTGCCCATCAATGCCACCTGTCAGTGCCCATCAATGCCACATATCAGTGCCTACCAGTGCACATCAATGCCACATATCAGTGCCCATCTGAGCTGTCTTTCAGTGTCACCTATCAGTGCCTCCTATCAATGCCAGTCAGTGCCACCTATCAGTGCTGCCAATCAGTGCCACAAATCAGTGCCAGTCAGTGCCGCCAATCAGTGCCAGTCAGTGCCACCCTATCAGTGCGCATCAGTGCCACCTATCAGTGTCCGTTATTGCTGCCTATTAGTGCCAGTCAATGCCACCTAACAGTGCCAGTCAGTGCCATCTATCACTGCCAGTCAGTGTCGCCTATCAGTGCCACCTATCAGTGCCATATATGAGTGCTGCCTTTCAGAGCCCATCAGTGATGCCTGTCAATGCCCATGAGTGCCACCTACCAGTGCCTCCTCATCAATGCCCATCAGTGCCACCTATCAGTGCCCATCAGTGCAGCCTATCAGTGCCCATCACTGCAGCCTCATTAGTGCACATCAATGAAGGAGAAATTTACAAAATTTTATAACAAAAGCTAAGAAAAAACTTTTTTTTCAAAATTTTCAGTTATTTTTGGTTTGCTTAGCAAAAAATAAAAAACGCAGAGGTGATTAAATACCACCAAAAGAAAGCTTTATCTGTCTAAAAAAATGATAAAAATCTCATATGGGTACAGTGTTGCATGACTGCGCAAATGTCATTCAAAGTGTGACAGCGCTGAAAGCTGAAAATTGGCCTGGGCAGGAAGGGGGTATAAGTGCCCTGTAGGCAAGCGGTTAAATAACATGTTTGGGGGATGTCCTTAATCTGACAGTGAACTGGTAGATCTGTGTGAAGTATACAAACTACTGATGATAAACTGATATTTACAAAGAAGAACTACCTTTTAAATTGCTGTCAAATTACAATTTTGGCTGACTTGATTGTGTTTGTAAATCAATGGACTGGTGAGAGTCTAGTATCAATGTTAGTATGGGACCATACACACAAAAAAAGAGATCCTTGATAAGGGTCTGGCATGGATGTCAAGTAGTACCCCATGCAAGAAATAAAAAAAAAAATGACCCCACCCCCCCAAATTCCTTGATAGACCTTTATCCAAGGATACAGCCTCTCAGGTCATGAGGACAAGAGGCTCTTCAGTACGACCCTGACCTGGTGATTGCAGGAGTCTGTGGGTGTGGGCTTGTCAAAATCTTTAAGCCCCGTTTAACAATAGGGGGTAATAATGGAGAAAGAAATAGGTTGGTCGCACTGTCAACGGTGTAGCAGATGTAAAATCCTTTACTGAAGTCTTCACAAACAGCCCCCAGATACGATTCCCACCAAAAGAGAAAAATCTGACCAATGGACACAACCATTCCCATTTTGCCCTAAATGATATCTCCTGAGCCCTGCCGTTAAACGTAAACAAAGTTGCAGGGCCTCCCAAGTGACGTCATTGACTATATCTGGCCATGGCCATATTTGATTACTGTCATTACCCAAATGTGGCCATGTGGCCATATCTGAACAACAAATTCCCCACTCCTTTGTTTACATGGCTGGGTGATGTCACTGGTTGCTAAGGTGCTGGCACCCACCAATTTCCTAGCAACCATTCACAGAAAGCTGTAGAAACATTGCTACTATCAATGATGTTCGGCTTCTGCTGAACAGGTAAAAAGTCTGATATTTGCACAAACACCTGGGCTTTGAGCTTTGTAATGGCGGTCTCATGTAACATGTCTCTAGTCTTTGATAGGATCTTGTAGAATGTCCCTAGTCTCCAACCACTCCGGTAGCATATCCCCAGTCCCAAACCACACACATAGCCTCTTTCCACTCTCATATACACCTCTAACAAACCCCTAGTCTCCAACTGAAACTGTAACATGTCAACACCCCACACCCATGCCTGTAAAATCCCCCCCCCCAATCTTTAAAGTGTTACTAAACCCCGGGCCCTGCATTCACTATATCTGGTCTCCCACAGTACACAGAACATGGAAGTGCTATTATTTCAGTAAATATAAACTGCTAAATATCTTTTCTCATCAGCAGTTAGAGCAGTCTTGTGACTTCTATCTAGTGTCCAGCCGAGCACATGGTGAAGCTTGTAGGAGGAGTGGCCCCTGACCTCTGTCTGAACATTGCTGATTGGCCCTGTGCTGATCAGAAAAAAAAAAAAAAACCTCTCTAGAAATACACACCAAACTGAGCATGTGCAGAGTGACTCAACATGATATGTTTTCAGGAGATAAGAGGGGGACACAAGAAGAAGGGGAGGAAGGGGAGGATCAGATAAGTCAGGATCAAACAGCATTTTTACACAATGCAAGGGATTAACCCCGTTGGTTCCACAGTGAGTATAACAAGCATGCTTTACTGTATATACAGACTGATTTTACTGCTGTGGGTTCAGTAAGATTTTAACACACTTTAGCATTCCTTCACTTTATTATGACACCTGTAACAAGTCCCTAGTCCCTAACCATATCTGTAGAAGCTCCACAGTCCCTAACCAGGCCGGTTGAATGCCCCCAGTTCCCAACACATCTGTAGAGTATCTTCATTCTTAAGTCACACCTGTAGCATGTCCCCATTCTCCAAGCACACCTGTAGCATGTCCCCATTCTCCAAGCACACCTGTAGCATGTCCCCATTCTCCAAGCACACCTGTAGCATGTCCCCATTCTCCAAGCACACCTGTAGCATGTCCCCAGTCTCAGACCACATCTGGGGTATTTCCTCAGTCTCTAAACATATTCTGTATTGTGTCCACAGTCTCGGGCAAAGATCTGTATAAAAATATTATGAACAGCCCTTTGATAATACCATGGGCCCTGGCTGATGCCCTCTATACATTATAAGATGACAACCACTAGTCTAAACATTTATTTTTGACTCATATTATTCTAGGACAGCTTTATAAAAATCAGCAATCTCAACTGCTTCATATGCGCAGTTTCATTTGTTTTATTTCTGAACAAAGCTTCGAAGTTTCTTATGAAACACTTAATTGTGTGAATCAGGCCCTAGGGCACTGCTCATGTTCCAGGAATAAAGCTGTTAGTGGGTGCTCAAGAATTATGCTAGAAAATGTTATTTTGCTGCAGTAAAGAGTAGCAGATGCTTGTAAGAAACTTTATAAGATACAAGAAACGTAAATATGCTTTCAATAAACACTTGTCTAACTTAAAAGTAAACGTGTTAAATAGAATGTATCTGTGTATCGGCACTGTGTTTCCATGCAGCATTTTTTTCACTGGATGGCATTGGTGTTATGTTGATGTTTTGCTGATTCTTGATCACAGCTTAGCATCCTGGTGCTATCAGACGTGTGTCGTGTAATTGTTTGCTGACTCTTCAAACAAAGTGAGAAGGTAACAGGAATTTCCTGGCAGCTGTGGGAAAACACTAAGGGGATTCTTATTGCACCTGACTGGTCTGTACATCTGTGACCAATAAAGTCACACTCCAAATAGTGGTGCTCACTTATGAATAGACCGGTTAAGCCATCTAAATGTCTGGCCCTTTCAGTTTTGTTTTGATAGTTCTTGAAAGTAGATACCTGTGGATATCTTGTTACAGAGGAAAATTTGAAAGGCACCTGTCAGGATTGTACAACATGTTGGTGTAGGAAGAGAATGTTTAGTAATGATACCATTCTTCTGCGCTCAGGGATTGTCTTAGACAAGTGGCCTTACCATACATTCAAAAAGTGTATCTATATGTCTATTTATATTATTTCCTACGTTTAAGAAAGTATCCTTCATAGTATAAATTCAAGAAAGCAGCCATCAGGGATTGGAAGTTACATAGTTACATAGTCTGGTTGAAAAAAGACAAAAGTCCATCCAGTTAAAAAAAAAGTTATAATCCTATGCCCACAGTTGATCCAGAGGAAGGCAAGAAAACCAGCAAAGCATGATCCAATTTGCTTCTGTAAGGAACAAAATTCCTCCCTGATCACTTGAGCGGCAATCGGATATTCCCTGGATCAACTTTACCTATAAATGTTAGTATCCAGTTATATTCTGTGTATCTAAGAAAGAATCCAGCCCGTTTTTACAGCAATCCACTGAGCTGGCCAGAACCAACTCTTGAGGGAGTCTATTCCACATTTTCACAGCTCTCACTGTGAAGAAACCTTTCCGTGTTTGGAGATTAAATTTCTTTTCCTCCAGACGTAAAGAGTGCCCCCTTGTCTTCTGTGATGACATCAGGGTGAATAGTTCTACATCGAGTTCACTATATGAACCACTGATGTATTTATACATGTTGATCATATCTCCCCTTAATCTTCTGTTTTCAAGAGAGAATAAATTCAGTTCCTCTAATCTTTCCTCAGCTCTTTTCCTCCATGCCTCTTATCAGTTTGGTTGCCCTTCTCTTTCTCCAGTTCCCCAATGTTCTTTTTATGAATTGGTGCCCAAAACTGAACTGCATATTCCAGATGAGGTCTTACTAATGATTTGTACCGGGGTGATATGATATCTCTCTCTCTGGAGTCTATACCTCTTTTAATACAAGAGAGGATTTTGCTCGCTTTAGAAACCGCAGCTTGGCATTGCATGCCATTATTAAGCATCTCAGGGTTTTTAACGCTTTTGTATCTTTCACTTTTGTGAGTACCCATTTGTTATGATTTATGCTTTTTTCCAATAAATCTCTGGTAATGCACTAGGTACTTGAGACCTCCTGTCTGTTTTTTTTGTAGTTCATATCTCTTTCCTCTTTAGTTGTCCCTCTTTTTAGGTTGACCTTCAAAGTCTCTATAAAAACCTTGAAAAAGTCAGCACATCGGTGGATGAAACGTGTTAGTGGCTGGCAAGAGTGAGTTTGTCGATGTGATCCCCCATGATGCTTGCTTGGGAATGGAACATAGCTGTTCTGAGACTGATTCAGGACTCCGCAAGGCCTGGACTATGATTGCAGGCAACACATACCAGTGAATTAGCTGTCTTAATTTACACCCTTCCATGGTTAGTATATACCATATTTAGCTTCTTGGGCAACCTTGCTGGGAAGACCTTAATTGCAGGACAGACAGTTGTAATATTCTTAATTAGTTAAAAATCTAGGTACACATTTAATTTGGCTGATGATAAAGAATGCTACTTTGGGACTAGTCACACTTACCCATCTGTGCATACTGTACTGCTCTGCTGGGTGTACAGATGTGTAA